CAGGATTTTGCCATGTTGCCCAGGCTAGTCTTGAACTCCTGAGCTCAAGCTATTGCCCACCTCAGCCTCCCAAAGTGCTAGGATTATAGATGTAAGCCACCACGCCTAGCATCAACCAGACTTTTATAAAATTAAAATTCTATAATGCAAGTCTGCTAGGGAACCTCCCTACCCCCAGAATAAAGGTAGCTCCTACCCCAAAATGATCAGGACTTTCACCTAAACTCTAGCTACCCTAATCATGGTCCAGAGTTAAGAAGTAACATGAGCACAACCCCGGGAGGTCTTAGAAAAAGGCAAAGACCCTCAACCTAGACTTACAGAATCCACAGTTGCATATTATCATGACTTCCAGGTGATTCCTATGCACAAAATACTTAGTATATGCTCATCTATCTCTACTGCTGCAATACATCAGGAAAAAAAAAAAAAATCAGCCAAGAACTCACCTGTCCATATAAATAATCTGAGGAAATTCCAGCTTATTGTGAATTTTCTCTGGCTGACCAAGGGACTGATTAAACTCAAATCTTGACAGTTCAAAGGTCAACACTGGAGGTAGCTTTGTAAACCAACGCTAGTGTCAAGAGTAGAAATGTGAGAGAAAGAAAAATTAATTTTAGGAAATAACAATAGCCAGATTTAAAATATCCCTCATCAGACTTTCTTCCTTTGGTATAGAACTTATACTCAAGTCAAGCTCAGGCTAGAACTTTAACACTAAAGGAAATGAATACTTAGACTCACACTCTTAGAGAATATGGTTCAACATTCCTCAAGACTCCAAATTTACTAGCCAGTCAATCATCATCCTCAGAATAAACCACCCTTGAATATGTGAAGTGCACTAAGCCTCTACACAACTCATTCATTACATCATCAGTATTCAAAAGAGGTTTAAAAACTTAAGAAAACAGCAAGCCTAATTGCAGAATATGAAATTTTGATCTAAGCAGCATGTAGCTAAAGTGAAAACTAACTCCATGGGTTAGCTAAAAAGACTAATACGAGTACATACATTACATGCTGTTTGTTTAGTCTATTAACCATAATTTGAATCTCCTTTATGTATACAAAGGAAAGTTGAAATAGCCTCATGGTTTTATAATTTCTCAATTTCTCAGAAAAATTTCTGAATTCCAAAAATTCACAGAGGTCTCATAAAGAAGCCAGTTAAACCAACCTACAATGTTAACTGAGTTTCAAGAAAGGAAGGTACTGACAAAAAAGACTCAACAGTCAAGGATCACAGGTGAGGAAAAGCTAAATCGGAACTGGCTTTTCTATTCAATTCACTCATATGTCTGAAGTTCCTGTGAACAGCTTTAAAATGTTCCCTTTACCAAACGTGCAAGCAGCATTCCCTTCAGATACCCTGTTAGCATAATGAGGTGAATTCAGATAGCCTGTGAGACCACCTCAAGGTGAAATCTAAGTGAGCATGATGATTTTGTTTGTTTCTGTTTAATTTTTATAGAGTTTCCATCCTAGAATACAAGTGTCCACAGGTCTAAGTATAGCTGGTGAACATTCCCTCTTTTCTAAGAGGATGCACCAGGTCTTCTGCACAGATGGTACAGATAACATAATTCCTCCATTAGGAATCACTTACGTCCTTGAACAGCCAGGGAGGCAGTAGCTCTCTCTGAGTTCCAACACTGCTCTACAGTGAATGTATTTTCATAGGGCTCATGTTAGGCTACCTGTTTCAGTTCAGGAAAGCTCCACTGTCTCCTAAAGTAATTAATGAGTTGGGCTCATATATAAGCCACAGTTTTGTCTCAAAACATACGATCAGTGGAGAATAATCCCAACTGTGTAGTGTTAAGAATTATGTTACAAATGCAATTCACTAATTCTTAACCCAACTGGAATGAATATTGAGATGTTAACTACTCATACTCTCCCTATAACTTCCCCCCTTTCTTTCCAACCCATAAAAATAGATAAATAAACAAATGAAAATTAAATTTTAAAAATGTTAAAAGCAAAGGCAGAATTTACAATTGAGAACAGTAAACACTATAATAGGGAAAATATTCTAAATGGCATACCATAGGAGTTAATCACTGTACTTTTACCCTCCGAAAATATGGAGGCAGTGGGTTCTCCCTACTCAGGTACAGGTAGGCTTCAACAGAAAGAGAGAAACTTGATCATACTTAAAACATCAGAAGCAGCATACAACCTTTACACGAGTAACTCAAATTCATAGTTTTAGTAAAAATTTTATTTATCAAAATACTAATACTCACTGACTCACATCAACTGACGAGAGACTTAAGACAAATTCAAGCTGTAAGTGTCAAGTTACTTAATATGTGATGGGAAACTAGTCTGCCCAAAAGCTCACTCCTACTTAACTGGCTTTGTCACTGGCAGAGCAAATAAAGATCTCCAACGTACCTCTTGTCCATACTTCACCAAGTGATCAGAGGGAAGAAGCTCAACATCACCCTCCACCATGGCCCCTTCCAAACACTCGTCTAAGTTGCGATAACCGTTTACCTGAAGAGGATACTGGCCGAAGGTCTCATTGTTACAAAAGGGTTTTCCTAGGTAAAGAGAGAGACTTTTTACAAAAGACATCACTATGACTATCTAAAGCCTATCTTCTGGCTCCACAGAGACATTTTCAATTCAGCAACTTCTTGACAGCTGGTTAGAAATGCACTTAAGCCTTTATAGCAACCTCTAATGAGCCAGTTGATCTAGACACGGAACACTGACAACCACTAACACTGAAAAAAGGCCAGGGGTGTGGTAGCTTATACCTGTAATCCCACCACTTTGGGAAGCCAAGGTGGGAGGATCACTTGAGGCCAGGAGTTTAAGACCAGCCTGGAAAACATAGTGACACCCCTGTCTCTACAAAAAATAAAAATTAGCAGGGTGCAGCGGTGCACACCTTAAGTCCCGGCTACTCAGGAGAATAAGGTGGGAGGATTTCTTGAGCCCAGGAATCCAAGGTTACAGTGAGCTATGATGATGCCACTGCGCTACAACCTGGGCAAGAGAGCAACAACCTGTCTCAAAAAACAAACAAAAAAACCTGCAAAAAGAAAGACAACCAGATAGTATGTGCTTCTTGATCAAGGGTTTTCTCACCACCTGTCAATTAGTCTTGCCAAAAAAAGCCTTACGTAAGTCTAGTCAAATCTCTAGACACAACTAACTACCAATTAATTTATAAGAGATGAGTAGAGAAGAACATGGGAATATGTTAAAAATGTATCAGGGGACATGCAAACAGCAAAATTTCTGACCATGGGAAATGCTACAGAACAACCAACCCAGATTCTCCAAAAATTCAGCATTTCAAGGAAAAAAGGATGGAGAGGTAGCTTACAAATATTCAATCATAAATCACACTGGGGTCCTCAATAAAACAACTCTGAAAATAAATTTTCTGTTTTTTAAATTATGAAAACAAATTAGTAATTTGAACACTGACTAGATAGTTGATAGTTTAAAATGCCATTTTTCAGAGTCATACTGGTACTGGATTATGTTTTAAAAAGAATATCAGATTGGTAAGAGTGACAGGGTGAGAAGGGGAATGGCTGGCTGTGAGCTAAGGCTGGGTTCATGGAGGTTTTAAAATGGCTCGATTTGAATGTATTCTAAATTCTCCATAATTAAAAATAAATTATGTGTCTAGCATGCAGCTTAGTTAGATAAGCCTCCAGAGTGAAAAGTCTCTATTCTAGAAAAACATTTTTGGCAGTCTCACCCAATAAAAGCTTTTGAGATTAGGTATTATATCAGAATAAGCAACACAGAGAAAACTGAGTAAAATCACTATCCGACATTAATGTCAGATTTGGGCTGTGCAAATATTAACGTGACAAATCTGAGATAAAGATCGGGCACATTTAACAGATGAAGAGACTGAGGATCCAGAAGCTCACATAGTTTGTCCAAAGTTAACAGATACCAAGAGGCAGAACCAATATTCAGACCTGGGTATCACTGACTCTCAAGACTATTCATTATACTGTCTCCTCAAAGGGACACAGTAATAAAGATATGATCACAGGTCTAGAATTAAAATTCAGAGCAGAGAATTTACCTTCACGAACCCCTTCAGTCAGGAAAGTACCATAGAAGAGCTGCACCATTGGATTTTCAGATTTGTTCCTGGGACTGCTGCTTTTAGGAAAAGGAGACAATTCTGGATTGTTTGGATTAAGATATGCGCTACATAAAATCCAAGCATCATTCAAAAACAAAAATAGTGCATTTTCATCAAACCCCAAAGAGCCAGGTATGATCTAAATAAGTAACCATTAGTTCAGTTCAAATATTTATTGAACACTTTCTTCCTAGCATTGTGCTAAACTCTGAAGACTCAAAGACAAGAAGGCACAATCCCTGGACTTAAGGAAATTAAAGCCTAATAGCAGAGTCATACTTGCAGACAAATACAGGTATTTGTATGCTTTCACTATATACATCTATATCCAATGATAGATGTACACAAGGTATAGAAGTAGTATAAAGGTAAGAATGAACTCTCTTGTGTAGTTTTACAAATAAATACAAAAACTTTTCTCCCTAGTATAATAGGAATAAAAAGTTTCTTCTTACAAGTCCATCTTAAATTGTTAACTATGTTAAGTTGCTGTTTGCAAAACCATTTCATAGTTATAAGTCTTCTACCTAGAATTGAAACGATTTAAAACACAGATTTCTCAGAGGGATATCCACATTCTGTGCCCTGAATTTCACTTCTCTCAGTGACTGAAACGACCATAACCTTTCCCCTACACATTCTAAGTAGATCTCAAAAAGGATCTTAGATTAAATTTAAGTATTCATATTATACCACCATGTTCACAACAGAGATTGATTTGACCTTTTTACAAACACATTTTTACAGCACATGCTGAGTTTAACAAAGTTAACAATTATGGTTCTTTAGTTAAAAAAAAAAAAAAAAGCTGCAGGGTAAGATGATTGCTATATCCCTATATCCTTAGAGGGGAAAGCTGAAGGCGGCAGGGATATACCATGAGTGTACTACCTCAGTGGCTATCCCAGGAGATATGGTTCAAAACCAGCAATTTCTACTTAAGGAGAGTAAATTTCCAGCGTATAATTCGCACTGGCCCACTGTGAGTCGGAAGGATGTACAAACAAACCCTCAACACTCACTTAACATTAACAGCTAGCTGGAATGCGTCCTCTAGCCAATCCAGGAGCTTGTGTGTGAATTCACTCACATCTTGCTATAAGAGAGGCACAAATTGCATAAAAGTTAGACGCAATACTAAGAAATGAAAATTTATCCTTATCCCACCAATGAATTAAGATTCTACTACTATAAAAGCATTTCTTTTTTTTTTTTTTTTTTTTTTTCTTTTTCTGAGACAGGGTCTTACTCTGTTGCTCAGATTGGAGTGCAGTGGCGTGATCTCAGCTCACGGCAACCTCCGCCTCCCAGGCTCAAATGATTCTCCTGCCTCAGCCTCCCAAGTAGCTGGGATTACAGGCACATGCCACCATGCCCAGCTGATTTTTGTATTTTTAGTACAAATGGGGTTTCACCATGCTGGCCAAGCTGGTCTTCAACTCCTGACCTCAAATGATCCACCCACCTTGTCCTCCCAAAGTGCTGGGTTTACAGGCATCAGCTACTGTGCCCAGCCTAAAAGCATTTTTGGAGGCTGAATATCATGAAGATATACGAACACTGAAACCCAGATTTTAAAAAGGTACATTAAGCAATCTCTAAGTTGTAGCTAGAAGGAGGTTGGAACTCTACTACTTCCAGCCACATCTATTTATGACAAAGAAAGAAAAAGAAACAAAATCTCCCAAGTAGGCCTTTTTAAGAAAAAGGCCCAAGGAATAGACTATAGTTCTCTAGAACAATATAGAGATCTGTATAAAGAAAGAAATGTTTTGAGAATTTTATAGAACTGTAGGACTTTCAAACAGAGAAAGAAAAAAATTATATGAGCAAGAAGCTGATCTAATCAGTGACAGCTTTGTTTTTGTTTTTAAATTATTTTTTCAGAGATGGGGTCTCACTCTGTCACCCAGGCTGCAGTACAGTAGCGCAATCACAATTTATTGCAGCCTCAAAGTCCTGGGCTCCAGGGATCCTCCCACCTCCGCCTCCCAAGTAGCTGGGACCACAGGCATGTACCACCATGCCCAGCTATTTTTTAACAGCAGGTGGAGAAAGAAAAGTCTAAAAGAGAGAAGTTGCTGAGAAAAGCTCCTGAGCTCAGATTTAGTTTTAAAACTAGGATTTCCATCTGGACCATTCCAAGACAAAGGTGCAGACAAAGGACTACTTTGCTTGGTATCCCTTTTGTTATAGCTCATTGAGGTATTTTCCAAACTCCTCCTTTTCTACATCAATAACCCCCGTATAATTCTATATTCTTTCTACTACTATTTCTTCTCTTTACAACTGCCAGACCCCGTGCAACACACGCACATCTGCTTTCCCTCTCAACACCTGTTCTGTAGGCAAAATAAAAGTCAGAAACAGGTGCTCCTAGTCCTGCTTAGTCATGTTCACAGCTTGTTATGCAGTTGAAATAAAGCAGTACCACATTAATATTGACAAGGCATGACTTCGAACTCAAGAGCAAGGCTTCTTTGGTACCTGCTGTTCCTCAGATGATCGGAATGCTCCCTTTAATAGATCCAGGGCTGCAGACGGGTCTACAAATTTTCTATTTGATCCCATCATTAAAGCAAACAAATACTGAAGCTCTTGCATAAACATGATATTTCTCTTTTCCTGTAGAAAACACAGCACATGTACTCTTAGAACAGCTCATTTAGAAAATTAGAACATATAAAGGAAAAAAAGTTGTCAATAATCATGCCCCCATTTATATTTATCTAGATCTAAGTAAAAGTTACAGGGCTACATATGTTACAGTGACTCTAGTAAGGACTGTACTCTAAACTGAAGAATAACTATGTAGAAACCAGAGACAGCACTATTAGAAAACAGAAATGCCCACTTTCTGAAGCTGCTGCCCTCCCTCTAAAGAGGAAAAGGCATTGCACCAAGGTGAAATCCTGGGAAGGGTTAAATTGCTGGGAGGAGGATCGACCTTTGGCAAAAACAGAATAAAACAGACTAAGAAGGTTCAGGTCTCTGGCATCAAGGTACCTCTCCATCATCACATGGCCTAAGCAGCTCAGGAAGAGAAAGGATACAACAAACACAGGTATTCGGGATCTCCCACCCACATATTCTTGGAGCCAGTTTTCTCATTTTATTCCTACTTGATTTTACATTTTGCATGCCCTTATATGTTACCCCAAAAAAAGAAAAGGCATGTAGAAAAAGAAAAGGCATGTAGAAAGTATTAGCACAAGCCAAAGAGTATCATGGATATCAGCTTTAGGCAAAAATCTAGAAGCCCTGGGGGTAAAAGTGACTAAACAACAGTGAAGAAATTCCTCGATACCAACTTACTGTGTGACTTCGACAATTTTCAAGTACATTTTGTGGCAGACTATAGCTGAGAACAAGTCTTCGAAATTCAGACAATTGAAAGAGAGACTGAAATAAAGAAAGAAAGGGATTCATAGCCTTTCCTCAAAGTAACTGCAGCAATGTATATATTTTTCACTTTAAATATTTTATTTCATATTTAAAAGTAAGCAAAACTATCAATCTAGCAATTCAACTTATATTATTTCTAAGGAAATAATGGTTGTGCACAAAAAAATTAGCTAAAATAATATTAATACTTTTAGGTAAAAAATAGAAACAACCTAATGTCTAGCAAAAGGAGTAGTTTTTTTGTTTTGTTTTGTTTTGCTTTTGCTTTTGTAGAGACAGGGACTTCTATGTTGCCCAGGCTGGTTTCAAATTTCTGAGCTCAAATGATCTGCCTGCTTTGGCCTCCCAAAGTGCTGAGATTATAGACATGAGCCACCATGCTTGGCCGTAGTTTAAATAAACTGTACCACATTTATACAATAGACTATTAAGTAGTCATTGAGATAATACTGTAAAACGTATTTATAAAATGACTTACTATATAGCAGGGAAAATGAAAAAAAAAAAAAACAAAAAAAAAAACAACAAGAGCTAATTGTATCAACATGGATAAACCTCAAAAATATATTTTGAGTGAAAAAAGTTACAGAAAAAAGTATTATACTGGCCAGGTGCAGTGGCTCACGCCTATAATCCTGGCACTTTGGGAGGCTGAGGCATGAGAATCACAAGGTCAGGAGTTCGAGACCAGCCTGGCCAATATGGTGAAACCCCATCTCTACTAAAAATACAAAAAAAGTTAGCTGGGCATGGTGGAGGGTACCTGTTTCCAGCTACTCAGGAGACTGAGGCAGGAAGATTGCTTGAACCCAGGAGGCGGAGGTTGCAGTGAGCCGAGACTGCACCACTGCACTGAAGCCTGGGCAACAGAGTGAGACTCGGTCTCAAAAAAAAAAGTATTATACTGCTTATATTAAGATTAGTAACATGTAAAACAATACTACATATTGTTTGGGGATACATACATGTGTGGTTACGTCTGTGGGAAAGGGATGATGTCACAACAGGGACTCAACAGAACAGAAATTTGAATGTTAATTTTTTAAGCCAGGTGGTGAGTACAGCAGTGTTGACTATTCTCCACTCTTTGTCATAATAATGTATTTTTTAAAAGTTTAACAGCAGATATCTCTGGCTAGTAGAATTGAAGAGAGGGATTCTTTTTATTATTTGCAAATCACATTTTTCTATTATGAATATCTTTCATAAGTTAATTTTTAAAAAACTCTTGTATGAATATATAATTCCTCATCCTAACATGCTCCTCAAATGAAAACTGTCTCAGGCCTGCATGGTGGAAATCCTGAAGCAGCATCCTAGGTAGATAAAAGGCAAAACTTTGCAATTAGAACTAAATAAAACACATTCTTGGTATTCTAAAAGCCTCAGGTATATTTATTAATGTCAATCAAAGAATCAAAGTATCAGTATCTGACTAGAGCCCATGTGCACCTCTCTGGCTTCCTTCACTCTAGCATAAGCCATGGTGGGATTCAGCCAACAGGGTGAGTGTTCACCTGGACTGGAGTGTAAAACCAGGTCATGCTGCTGCACCAAAGTTCTCTCAGGAGCCAGGACTTGGCTGGTGAGCTCTATCCTGAGCCACTCTCTTCTCTTCCACCTCACCTGTCTACCTGACACCTGCATTCCTACCCTGCTGGCTACCCTGTGACATTCTCAAGTTTCTGTTCCACTGTGAGAAAAATGGCTTTACGTGCTTGGCCACTTAACTCCACCTCTTTGTCATCATGAAAATCGGACCATCCCCAAAGATGCCATTGTTCTTAAAAACCACAGTAAATGTGAGCTAATACTACTCACATCTCCCAACTTATTATCTATCTAACAGGTGCTGCTTCTGTGTTCTCTGCATCACTTCATTATATCCTCCTCCAGTCACCAAAGTTTAGAAGTGCAGAAAAATCCTTGAATCTTTCTCCTAATCATTCACATCCAATGACTAACAGGTCCCTTGGCCTCTGTTTCTGGGTGCTCTTTATAACCTAACTGCTTTTTCCCTACCAGCGCCCCATCAGCTGCTCTACTACAACTCCCACTGCTACTCACTTGCGTAACTGTATATGGTCTCTCTGCTTCCAGAGCTTCCCTCCACCAACTCACACTTGCCATGCAGCTCCTTGTAACTACCTCCCTAATATGACCAAAATAAAGCTCCCAATTCACTGAAGACTGTCATCTGGTAATAGCTTTCCTCACTCTCCCAAGTCCTGATATCCTCCTAGGTGACTTTGGTCAACATCCAAGCCCTGAGGACATCCTGTCAGTGTTGTCTTGAGAATATACTAAGAACCCCAACTCTTTTCTATTTCCAGGGCTACCAGTCCAGTCCAAGTCACCATCACTCTGCATGGATGACAGCCATGGGTCTCTCTCTGTGCATTCTTGCCCCTCCATCCTGATCTCCTCACAGAAGCCAGAGTGAGCCTTTTAATACTTGAGCCAGAGTTCATCAGTCTGCCACTGGGGACCTTCACAGACTCCCTGTCCACTCAGACCCTCATCTCCAGTGACCTTCCCTTTGCTCTTAGCATCCAGCCAATGGGACTCCAGCATGTTCCCTGAATACACCAAACCCATTCCCACCATGAAGCTGTTGCTCTATGCATTCCTCTACCTGGAATGCTTTTGTCCCAGTAGCTGCCTGGTTCACTCCCTTGCCAGTCTCACCCCCCCTCCCCACCTCAGTGAGGCTCACTGAACAACACAGTTAAGACTGCAACCTGTTACCACCCTCCTGCAGTTCTAATCTCCCTAACTTTGCTCTTTTTTCTACTGGATCAATCACAGTCTAATGTATCATACAATTTATTTAGCTAGTTCATCATTCTGTTAGTTTTTAGTTTACTGTTCATTTCTCTCTCACCTCACGAGAATTTACATTCCATGAGGGCACAGCTGTCTTTGTTTTGTTCACTCCTACATCAAGGGCCTAGAACACTGCTAGACATAGAGCCGGTGTTCAACTGTTTGCTGAGAGCCCTTGCATCCTTCCAGTCCGGAGATCTCTCTGCTTCTTGGGTGTCCCATGTCTAGTGACACATTCTTCCACTCCATCTCTATCTACACTCATATCCCAGGCTGCACCCAAAAGAAGCCAACACCTAAAATGTATCAGTTCGCAGATCACATATTCAGAAAAATCTCACTCTGGGACCATTACGTGTCTTTTGTGTTATCTGTCCAATTACCCACAGGATACCTGTTCTTTGACTTCAGCAGGGGCCCAAGCAAATTGATCTCTTTCCTGGCCCCTTAACCATCAGTTCTCCTTCCTATCTTCATTTCTTTCTCCATCTAGCTTTGATATTATGGTCTTAATTACCCTTCATTAAATTCAGAGAACGCTTTTGTCCTTTGATCACATACCCAGCAAATGCTCCAACTTAAATGGGTTGAGTTTTCCATGTAAGAGGTTCAGAATGCTGTCAAGAGAAAGTACTGATAGAAACTGAACATTTTTGTATCACTATTCATTTAAAGTCAACAATTTTAAGAAGACCTTCAAATTTTTGGAAATCCTACTACTGTGCTCTGGTGCCAACTGGTTTTCCCACCATCTCCAACAACTATTTCAAACTTTCACTCCCTTTAAAATCTGACTCTGTTGCTTCTCCACTGTCTCAAAAAATGGCTGCTTATTTCACAGACGGGGAAAAAGAAAGACACCACTTCAACTCTAATACGCAGTTATCATTTCTTCCTCCTCCCTGCCTATTACTCCTTTGCCCTTTTCCTTGTTATGGCCAGCTCCTCCGATATACTTTCTATGCTGTCTGCTCATGCTGTCCCAGAAGCCTTACTCACCTATCCTCTGCATCTGCTGGTTCTTGTCCACCCTCCACAGGAGTTAGGGCTGAGGGGGATGTGAATGCAGGGAGTGTTCTCTTTCTCTGTCTCTCTCCTTTCAGATAGGAAAGAACTGACATGTTCCACATTATCTTCCTACACTCTATTCTTAACACAGATGCCAGTGATCTTTTAAACTGGAAGTATGATCGGATCACTTCTCTGCTCCAAATCTTCCAATGCATTCCTATTTCCAGAATTCTCCCAAATCCTCATCATGACCCCAAGCTCTCCCATTCCACCTCCATCACCTTTCCTATCCCACTGCTATCAGTTCTGGATCACTGTCTTAGCTCTTTCTCAGATACATTAAGCAAGCTCCTAAACCTCAGTCCGCTTATTTGCTGTTCCTTGTCTGAAATGTTCCCTATGCAATTATATAGCTAATTCCCTGGCCACCTTCAGGCCTCTGCTCAAATGCCCACCTCATCAGAAAGGCCATCCCTGACCCTCTGCCCTCTCCAGCTGAACCCTGTCCAGTCCCACAGCCTCATTCATTCATCTTTACACTTTTTACCACCTGATGTTTCATTTGCTGTCTGTGCCACTCTTTCCCAAGTAAACCATGAGAGTAGGGTCTTTGTTTTGTTTTAGTCACTGCTGTTTCACCAGAGCCTAAGACAGTACCAGGCACATAGAAGCTGGATGTAGAAAGGGAGAATTCCATTTTTCAGCTTGAGCAGCTGGGTAGGTGCCATGTACCATGATGGAGAAGACTGCTGGGGTGAGCATCAAGGGCTGCATTGGAGCAATGTAAGTTTAAGATGCCTGACTGACACGTCTAGAAAGCCACTATCCTCTAGTGAATTCATTCACTCCCTCAGTTTTATTACCAACTACATGGCATTGATTTCCAAAATTGTAGCCGCAGCCCAGCACTTTTTTCTCAAGTACAAATTCATATAATTATCTGCCTACATGGTATCTCCTTAAACTCAACTCATTTAAGTTGGAGGATTTGCTAGGTATGCGATGAAAGGACAAAAGGGTACTCTGAATTTAATGAAGGGTAGTTAAGACCACAGCATACACAGACGCTGGCACCTCAAACTCGGCATACCTAAAACTGAGCTGATCAGCAGGTGCAGTCGCTCATGCCTGTAATCCCAGCCCTTTGGGAGGCCAACGCAGGTGGATCATTTGAGGTCAGGAGTTCAAGACCAGCCTGGCCAACATGGTAAAATCCCATCTCTACTAAAAATACAAAAACTGACCAGGCGTGGTGGCACATGCCTGTAAGCTACTTGGAGGGCTGAGGGAAGAGGATTCCCGGAATCCAGGAGGCAGAGGTTACAGTGAGCCAAGATTGTACCATCTTGTCTCAAATGAATAACTAAATAAATAATACATTTAAAAAATAAAGACGCTGGGCCGGCTGCGGTGGCTCACATCTGAAATCCCAGCACTTTGGAAGGCTGAGGCAGGCAGATCACCTGAGGTCAGGAGTTTGAGACCAACCTGGCCAACATGGTGAAACCCCATCTCTACTAAAAAATTAGTAAGGGAGCCAGGCGCAGTGGCTCACGCCTGTAATCCCAGCACTTTGGGAGACCAGCACTATGGAGGATGCTATAAACTTTCATGGATAATTCAAAATCCCAGGAAAAGTATTCACTGGATAATCCCTAGCTATGTAAGCAACTGTAAGATTGTAATGCAAATGGAGGTCTGGAGTTGGAGACCAGCCTGGCCAACATGGTAAAACTGTCTCCACTAAAAATACAAAATTTAGCTAATTGTGGTGGCGCTTGCCTGTAGTCCCAGCTACTCAGAAGGCTGAGGCAGGAAAATTGCTTGAACCTGGGAGGCGGAGGTTGCAGTGAGCTGAGATTGCACCACTGTGCTCTAGCCTGGGCGACAGAGCAAGACTCCATCTCAAGAAAAAAACAAACGAACAAACAACAACAAAAAAAAAAACTGAACTAAAATCCATTCTTAACACACACCCAAATTACTTCTCTTCCAGTGTCAAATGGCACTATAATCCACCTGGTTACTCGAACTAGAAACCTCAGAGTCTTACTCAACGGCTGCAGGTGTATCCTGTATCCAACTGCCCGCCAATCTCATAGATTTGATTTCCTCAGCGCCTCAAGAATGCATTCACTTCTCTCCTTCCATGACTTTTGACACTTCTCTACTCCAGACCACCACTGTCACCTACCTGGATAGCCTTCAACAACTGATTTCTCCTTATTCACTCTCATTGCTATAATATAGTGTTCACTAAACGCTTATCCAAAACACCTATTCAATATATTACAACCACATAAGATTTTTTTTTTAGTACTGCCCAACTTAGACATCAGAGCATCTAAATCCAAAACACAATAATGCCACAGGAAAAACTCCCCAGTTTTATAGATCTGTTTTAACTTTTTGAAAGCTATGTTTCTACATTTCACTTTAATAAATTACAAAGTTACTTCCAAAAGATACAGTTAACTCTTAAAAATATCATACCTGAATAACAGCACTAAACCAACATGTATTGCCAACATTTTTCAGCCCCACTGGCCAACCATCAACTCTCCTCCAGTCACTGGGATTGGGGTTTTCTCCCCAGACTTCACAGCGTTTTCTCTTTGAGCGCTTAGTTTCTGCAGAGGTTGCTTCGTGCATCCTATGTTGTGCAAGATACCATACATCAAAAAAGAAAGTAGTTAAAGAACAATATAGCATATGGAGGATGCTATAACCTTTCATGGATAATTCAAAATGCCAGAAAAAGTATTTACTAGATAATCCCTAGCTATATACGTAACTATAAAATTGTAATGCAAATGAAAAGCAAGACTTTAACATAAAAATGTTAATCCTTCCTTAACTCACATTATTACTAATAAGGTCAATGATAATAAGTTGAAACTCAAGACTGTTTAAGGCTACCATATTAGAAGTTTTAGATTTCAACACAGCATACTATCTAAGACCCCGCCACTGAAAAGGGCAGGAGAGACACTGTACTAAAGATAAGAGCTCCAAATTGCCCAGGACACAAAACATAGCCCTATGTTCCCTGAAACAAACAACTCAGCAGTGTGAGGGAATAAACATGTCCAGAAACTGATAGGCGACCACTGGAACTGGACATTGGTGAACAGTACCAAACAATCACCAAATTAGTACCAGTTTAAAAAAATAGATTCCTTGATCACTTATAAGGCAGGGTAGTTGAATAACTTTCATTAAAAAATATGCAACAGCATAACCCTCAAAGTTTATAAAAGAGAATATACATTTATCAGATACCTGGACTAGGTTGTTTTTAATTTACCCTAGTAACTGTGAACTAAAACACCTGGCACACTTCTACTCAAAGACACAGGTTGCAATAAGACCCCTTTCAGTATGGCTTTTCCAAAAGTGAACCAAAGAGTAAGCTAATGCGAATTCAGAATTTATCCTAAAAGAAATTTCATTCAAGTGCTTGGCAGAATTATTTCTGAGTGGCATTCACAGAGCTATTGCCTTTGACATGCACACAAATGTGGGGGTAAGGATTATAAGTTAAATCAGTAACCTGTTCAGATCTCTTCCATCAGCTTGAATTTTGGGAGACTCCAGCAGACTCAAAGCAATGGCAGCCTGAAGATCATCTTTGTTATCATGAGTAAGGTCTATCACTTCTGTAAGATAAACAGAAATTTAGTTAGTCTACATATAGGAAACACTGCCCTTGTGTCATATAAGTAAAAGTTAAAGACATACTCCCTAGTTTTCACTACAATAATGGCTCATCTGTGTAACAATTTTATTACTGTATAACAGAGTCAAATGAGTAACTTCAGCTACACTGGAACCTTAGACTAGCCCACAGTACAGAAATAACAAGCTGCAAAAACCAAATGAATCAAATACCCTCTTCTGTATTCTCATTCCACAAAGTCAAATGTAGATCCCACACATATGGGTTAAATAGTCTCTATTATCACAAATGTCAGCCAAATATCAAACATTCAGGGAACAGATATTTCCAATCTCATACAAAATATTTCAAAGAATAGGGACACACTCCTCAACCAGTTAAGAACAGTAAGGGAAAGGAAAAGTGAAACTCACACATAATCACAGATGCAAAATACCTAAACAAAATATTAGCAAATAGAACCCAATTAATATAGGGAAAAAAATTACATATTAAGACCAAGTTGAGTTTACTACAGGAAAAAAAAATTGAGTTAATACTAGATGGATCAGTAAAATTCACTATCGTAACAGTTAGAAGAAAAAAATAATCATCTTAATAGATACAGAAAATGTATTTGATAATATTCAACTTTCTTTCAGGATAAAAATAGGAAGAGAAAAAAATAAACTTGGGCTGAGAAAAAGTATCCATGAGAAGTCCATAGCAAACTTTTGTATTTAATGGAGAAATGTTAAATACATTTGCTTTAAAATCAAGACTAAGACAAACCTATCTATTATCACCGCTTTTTATTCACCATGGTTCTGAAAGTTCTAGCCAGGCGGTAAGAACTTTTGGGCTTGTCAGCTCCCGCCTATAATCCCAGCCCTTTGGGAGGCCAAGACGGGTGGATCACTTGAGGTCAGGAGTATGAGAACAGCCTTGCCAACATGGTGAAACCTCGACTCTACTAAAAATACAAAAATTAGCCAGGTATGATTGCACATGCCTCTAATTCCAGCTATTTGGGATACTGAGGCAGGAGAATCTTGACCCCAGGAGGGAAAGGTTGCAGTGAGCTGAGATTATGCCACTGCACTCCAGCCTGGGCGACAGAGTGAGACTCTCTCTCTAAGAATATAAAGACTAGAAAATAAGAAGCAAAGCTGTCATAATTCACAGATAATAATCACCTACAAGGGAAACCCAAAATAAATCTATAGCTACTCTGGGCATACTGCTTATCGGGTAGCCCTGTTCTACAGGAGCAGTTAAAAAAAAAAAAAGAAAAAAACCCCACAAATATTATAAAACTGCAGTAATCAAGACTGTGTGCTACTGGCATAAGGAGACATATACATCAATGGAATAGAATTTATAGTCCAGAAATAGACTCTCACATTTATGGTCAATTGATTTGCAACCTAAGTACTAAGACAACTCAAGGGGGAAAGAATATCTTTTCGACCAGTGGTGCTGTGACAATTGGACACCATGTGCAAAAGAATAAAGCTGAACTCCTACCTAGCCCCACACACAAAAATTAAGTCAAAATGCATTAAGTCCTCATGATGAGAGCTAAAACTATAAAACTCTTAGAGGACAACACAGGTGTAAATTTTCATGACCTTAGATTAGGCAACGGAATTTTAGATGACACACAAAGCATAAGGAACCAAAGAAAAAAGAAGGATTTTAAAAAATTCTTTGGGCTTCAAAGGACGCCATCACAGAAAGGGAGAAAATCGTTGTAAAACATGCATCTGATAAGAGATATATACACAGAACATACAAAGAACTCCTGAAACTGAATGAGACACACAAACAGCGATTTCAAAAATGAGCAAAAATCTGAAATCACTTCTCTGAAGAATATACTAGATAAATGACCAATAAGTACACGATACTCAATACTACTAATTATCAGAAAAATGCAAATCAAAACCACAGTATTTCACACCTATGGAGAGAGCTATCAAAAAATAATATTAAGACTGGCAAGAATGTGGAGAAATGGGAACCTTTGTGCACTGTTGGTGGGATTTTGAGACGGTGCAACTGGCCAGGCACAGCGGCTCACGCCTGAAATCCCAGCACTTTGGGAGGTCAAGCTGGGCAGATGGCTTGAGCTAAGGAGTTCAGGAACAGACTGGGCAACATGGCAAAACCTTGTCTCTAAAACATTTAAAAGAATTAGTCGAGTGTGGTGGTGTGTGCCTGTAAATCCCAGCCACTCGGGAGGCTGAGGCGAGAGAATCGCTTATACCCGGGAGGTAGAGGCTGCAGTCAGCCAAGATCGCACCACTGCACTCCAGCCTGGGCGACAGAGCAAGACTTGGAGAATTGTTCTCAAAAATAAATAAATAAGTAAATAATACAATTATCATTAGAACTATTCCAATTATCCTAATTATGATAGAATATTACCATTCTATTGTCTTTTACTTTTACCAAAATAAAGAATCTAGGTAATGATCAACCACAGCTGAAAATGCTAAGTGAGAAACTTTATGAATTAAGCTGACAATACTCAAATACAATTATGATTTTAACAACACAAAGAGGGCAATCAGACATTTTATGCTTCTCAATCTAATGCATTAGAAGATATACACACAACACTACCTATGACACAGTCATGCCAGATAAGCATCTATGTTTATACGAAAGACATGAGACAGAAAAATCCATTGAAACAGGAATACAATCGCCAAACTCCAGAATGTGTGAAAACTGACATAACAAAGGACTTGATTTCTTTGGATATTAAACTGCAAGAAAAAAAGGCGGAATTTATAGATAAAGAGAATCTTAAAAGATACTTCAAACATACTTAACGTTCTAATTTATTTGGATCACTGTTCTTACAAAAACTGCCAACACTGTTAATGGGATAACCAGGGAAATTTCTACACTGGGTATTTGATGAGATTAAGTGATTATTGATGAGATTAAGAGATTAAAGTGTGATAATGTTGCAGTTTAAAAAAAATAAACAGTCCTTTTTTAGAAATGTTACCCAAAAAGTTAAACATAAAATTATCATATGACCCAGCAATTCTACTTCTAGGAATACACACAAAAGAACTGAAAATGGATACTCAATGAAATAGACACTGGCTTTATCATGACAGGGATATTCGATCACTGAATATGGCCATTACCTAGGTCATGCTGTGGTTAAGGACACCCCTTCAGCGTAGACCCCCTCATAAAACATGACTGCAGCAAAACTGAAAGAGTTTTGGAAGCCTTATTAGATTTGCTATCTCATCTTCCTCTCATGGGTCTTACAGATGCGAATAAAAACAAAACGTTCATTAACAGGAGAATGGTAAAAGGCTGATGGGAAAAGTCAAGGGACAATGGTGGAAATGTTTAAAGGATTATTAAGGAAGTAAGTAAAGAAAACATTGAAGAGGTGAAACTAAGGAGAAAAAGAAATTTTGAGATAATGTAGAATTGATACTGTAGATCAGTGGGGAAAGTACAGTCTTTTCAATTAAAGGTACTGATTAAAGGTTTTAATATAGTACTACCAAAGGTGGATGGACGGAAGGGAACCTCTGCTGATTAACCAACATTAAAGGGCTATGAAACAAGTTTCTTGCATTTACCCCAGTTTGGAGAAACTTTAAAAGCTGAAAGGCAGAGACTCCAAAGAGAAAGATGACCAACAATTGTGTGGGTCAATGTTGAGGCAGGTTAATCAAGATAAAGACTGACAAACAGCCAAGAGTTCCTTGGTTCAATCCCTTGCTGAGGACCCAAAGCCTTATGTACACCAGTGGTAAAAGGGTCAGGGCATGGAGTAGAAACCTTTCTGGGGCTCTGTGACACATAAGCCCAATGCACTGTGATTCCAAAACCTGCTAATAAGGTCCTAATGGAGGCTATACTTAGGAATGTTAAGGGTTGATGGAATTAGGATAAAATTTTATAGGAGAGTTGGCATGTCTGAACCTGCTTCATGTGAAGTAGTTCCATCACTTCTACTTTGTTGTATTATGGAAATCGATATTGTGTCTGCCTGGAGAACATTCCCTCTGCCTACTCCTGTGAAACAGAAGGCACGTAAACTTGCTCTTCAAGCAATAATAATTAGATGTGCTAAATGGGAACCAGAAAGATTCCCCGAGCCTACACAACATAGAAGTTGACACGCTGGCAGGGACAAACTGATTGCGGAGCATTTACCAGAGCTCATGGCAAAAGCCTATAAATGCCTCCCAGCGACAACTACTGAGACTTTGGGCTAGAGAATTACCACTTGAGGGGCATATATTACCTTGCCATGAGACATTAATTGAAGCTACCCCTATAATTGAGGACATAAAATCATCTTGAAACCTGAAATACTCATGCTGTCTTTTTGTGGGCTGTCAGAGAAACACTTCAATGAGGATGGCAGTGCCCAAGAGAGTTCCATAATAAAATGGAAATAGTTTATACAGGATCTTGCTACCTGGAAAATTCAAGGAGGTCTTTGCATTCCCCAGGTAGCAGAGAGCTTCTTTTCCCCTAGGACTGACTCTGGAACTGCGTGAGGAGCTGCTGGATGATATCCACACTTGGACAGTTTCCCAATAAACAGCTCCCAACAGACCAACAAAGAGCTGCTTTGTTTACAGATGGCAGTTCCAAGGTGAATGGACAACAACCTATTTGGAAGGAAGCATGCCACTGGGATCAAAGCGGGTAAAAACAAGTCCACTGGGTGTGTTGACTGCACGTTGTTTTTCTCGCAGTGATGGAAGAAGTGAACAGTGGTAAAAGCCCCTGTGTTAGGGTTTTTACTCAGTTATGGGCAGTGGGCAGTGACTCAGTTTCTACATGATCAGGCCGGAGAGCAATGGAAACCTGGCCTATTAAAGGGATGCCCGTATCGGGCATGACACTATGGAAATTTGAAGGGCACATTAAAATAGGGCATGTCAATGCCAATCAGAAGAAATCCCTTAGATAAGTTAATATGGGGGTACTGCAGCAGTGCAGAGATGGGCTGAGTCTAGACATGTTCCCTTTCCACCCTCTCAAGAACAAAACGCCAATAAGAACTGTTCCATCTGCAAGAGAAAGATACTGCCTCAGGCTATGGGGAGATTCCCCGGTGGCAAGGCCCAGAACATAGCTGGCCAGTGAGACTGATGCTGGTAGCCCTAGGGGGCTACAAATGGGTCCTGACAGGTACAGACACTGACTCTGAACTGAGCTTTACTAACCCAACAGATCATGCAAAATACTTTCGGTGCTAAAGAAAAATTATAACAGAGCTCTTTAAAAATTTCCACCTTCCTAAGATGAGCCCTTTGACTCTCCCCTCTGCCTTTCACCATTCTTTTGTTAATTAACCTAACGTTTTTATTAGCATCTGTAAGACCCAAGAGAGGAAGCTGAGATAGTATTTCAATTCAAAAGGAAGAACAACAATTTCCCAATGTAAGATAAATTTTAAAGCAATGGTCACTCTCAAGCCCTGTTAAACAGAATATAGGCCAGGTATGGTGGCTCAGGCTTGTAATCCCAGAACTTTGGGAGGCAGAGGAGTTAGAAGTTAGGAGTTTGAGACCAGAGTGGCCAATGTGGTGAAACCCTGTCACTACTAAAAATACAAAAATTAGCTGGGTGTGATGGTGGGCACCTGCAATCCCAGCTACTAGTGACACTGAGGCATGAGAATCACTTTAATCTGGAAGGGGTAGGTTATAGTGAGCTGAATCATGCCAGAGCAACCCAGTAACTCTGGGCAACACAGTAAGACGCTGTCAAAAAAAAAAAACAGTATAAATAGGTAAAAACTTATTTTGTAAAAGACTGTCATTACCTTTGAAGATAAGCATGTCTTAATACCTACCAACTACATCACTGGGTATATACACTAAAGAAACTCTTGCATATAAGGACAAGAAGCATGAATCCCAACAGCTCACAGCAGGCTTGTTTATAATAGCAAAAGCTTGAAAACAACCCCAAAGTCAACAGACATGTTGGAAACGGGTTTATAACATCGGGAAAAATCCACACAGAGACAATGGATTACTGAGCAAGGCTAGTTTTACTTCCTGCAGGAAGGGTGCAACTCGCTGGCTGTCTTGCCACAGGAGCACCCCTGAACAAGGAGACAGGGACATTTAAAACTTTCATAACCTGACACAATCGTCCTACTGCTGTGTCCAGTTTCCATTGGCTGGAACAAGACCTCACATTCTTTGTCTGACCCAGTTGGCTAAAAACTTGGAAGTTTTCTAAAGAAGTAAAGACAGAGGAGAACAAAGCAAAAGAGGAAGTAATTTGAGGAATGCTTAGAGAAGCGATAACATTTCCAAATAAGGAAGGGGAATAAGCTATGACGTAAGACTTGACTGGGCTTGTCCAGGTATATCATGGCAAATATCTAGGTTAAAATGTAAGAGCTAGCTGGTTGGGGGTGAGGGGTGGGGTATGGAGGGTGGGGGGGGTGTAAATAAATAAAGTGTAAGACCAAAGAACACGGGATGCACTTATTTATTATGACTAACAGCTACTTTAAGATTATTAGCAAAAGCTTTAAAGCAAATTAACCTTTGAAGAAACTATTATTCATTAGTAATGAACTAAGAGACGAAAGCTTTGAAAAGGAACCTTTCATTTATTCTTATTTACTACAGACAAATACACACAATGTGGTATATTCAGACCATGGAATATTACACACCAGTGAAAATGAATGAATTACAGTTATAACCCTCAACATGGATGAGTTTCAAAAAGAACAATGTTGCCAAAAAATGTTGCAGTATGTACCAAGAGAAACATGAGAATACACACAGCAGCATCATTCAGAATAGCTCAAAACTAACAGCTCAAATGTCCATTAACACCACCTCACCTTCCTCTCACAAGACTCCAGAAGGTTCTCCTCGGTCTCTCCTCCCAGAAGCCTCCTTGGCTTCCAGAGTCCCATTCTCCTGGCTTTCCCCAGACACTCTTCACCTCCTGAGACTTCTGAACACTGAGCAACCAGTGTTTAAGCTGCGGAACCTTTTCTTTCTCCTATACCAACTCCCTTTGAGAGCTCCTCAGTCTCACAGCTTTACAGAGCATTTATAGGTTATGATTCTAAGTCCACCTACCTCCAGCCTGGACTCCTCTGAACTGTGCACCTGGGTCACCACTGTCTTTCTGACACCTTTGCCGTGAATGTCTAACAGGCATTTCAAACTTATTATCCCCAAAACTGATCTCTTCATCTGTTGGCCCAAATCTGTTCCACCTACAGTGATTCCCGTCTTGGTTAAGTCCAACTCTATCCTTTCAGCAGCTTACGAAAAAAAATTTTGAGTCACCTTTAACTCCTCTCTCTCCTCAGTAAGTAAATCCTACTGTCTTTAACCTTAAAAATACTATATGCCAGGCTGGGTGCAGTGGCTCATGCCTGTAATTCCAGCATTTTGGGAGGCCAAAGAAGGCAGATCACGAGAATCAGGAGATCGAGACTATCCTGGCTACTACAGTGAAACCCCGTCTCTACTAAAAATACAAAAAATTAGCCAGGCGTGGTGGTGTGCGCCTGTAATCCCAGCTATTTTAGAGGCTGAGGCAGGAGAATCGCTTGAACCCAGGAGGCGGAGGTTGCAGTGAGCTGAGATTGTGCCACTGCACTCCAGCCTTGGCGACAGAGCAAGACTCCGACTCAAAAACAAAAACAAACTATGTGCCAGAATGCAGCACTGCTTACTCTCCACCACAGCAGCCTGGCCTGGGTTCCCTGATCTGACCCATACTCATCACTACCCCGTCCCTAACATTCTGTTCTCAACACCACTGTCAGAATGATGATAAATGAAAATTGGTTTATATTATTCCTTTGCTCCAACTCTTCAAAGGCTACCCACCTAACTCACAGCAAAAGCCAGGACTTAGGAAGGTTCTGAATGATCCACCTCCTTCTATTTCCACGCACCATCCCTTTCGGCCCTCTCACTCACTGAGCCTTAGCACTGGCCTCCTTGCAGTTCCCTGAGCAAGCTAAGGTGCACTCCTATCTCAGGTCCTGAAATGACTTACTCCCTCACCTCCCCTGGGCGTTCTTTTTTTTTTTTTTCTTTTTTTTTGAGTCGGAGTTTCGCTCTTGTTGCCCAGGCTGGAGTGCAATGGCGCGATCTCGGCTCACCGCAACCTC